AAATAAAAAAAAAATTTTAAGTGGCACCTGAGTGTCTCAGTCAGTTAAATACCCAACTCTTGATCTTGGCTCAGGTCACAATCTCACGGTTTGTGAGTTTGAGCCCTGCATCAAGCTCTGAGCCAACAGCACGGAGCCTGCTTGGAATTTTCTCCCCTCTCTCTGCTCTTACCCCACTTGTGCATGCTCTCTCTCTCTCTCTCAAGGCAAATAGATAAACTTCAAAAAAAAAATTTTTTTTTTCATAAATCTGGGGCGCCTGGGTGGCTCAGTCAGTTAAGTGTCTGACTCTTGGTTTCGGCTCAGGTCATGATCTCACAGGTCTCATGGGTTCAAGCCCTGCATCGGGTTCTGTGCTAGCAGCACAGAGCCTGCTTGGGATTCTCTGTCTCCCTCTCTCTCTATCCCTTCTCCACTTGCTCTGTCTCTCTCAAAATAAAATAAACTTAAAAAAAATAAATCCTAAAAAATAAAATCTAATATAGAAATTCCATTATGATCCAGCAATTCCACTTCTGGTATTTATGAAAAGAAAACAAGAACACTAATTCAAAAGGATACATGCACCCCATGTTTACTGCAAAAGTTACAATAGCCAAGATAGGAAACAACCTAAGTGTTCACTGACTAATGGATAAAGATGTAGCGTGTGTGTATATACACAATATGTGTATATACACTCAGTTGTAAGAAAAGAATATGATCTTGCTATTTGCAACAACAAACACTGTATGATTTCACTCACATGTAGAATCTAAAGAACAAGCCACAAAACAGGAAGACTCAAAAATACAGGGAACACTGGTGGCTGCCAGAATGAAGAGGAGTGGGGAGGTGTGTGAAATAGGAAGGGGATTAAGTGGTACAAGCTTCCAGTTACAAGAATGTGAAGTATAGCATAAGGAATATAGCCATTAATACTATAATAAATGTATGGTGACAAATGGTAACTAGAGTTGTGATCATTTCATAATGTATACAAATATAATGCATATAAACATCGAATCTCTATGTTGTACACCTGAAATATTGTATGTTAACTATACTTCAATTAAAAAAAACAATTAAGGGGCGCCCAAATGGCTCAGTTGGTTAAGCGTCTGGCTCTTGATTTCAGCTTGTCACGGTCTCACAGTTTGTGGCATTGAGCCCTGCACCCAGCTCAGCTCTGGAGTGAGCAGCCTGCTTGGGATTCTCTCTTCTGCCCCTCCTGTGTGTGCACACGCTCTCTCATAGTAAATAAAAGCTTAAAATATGTATGTATATATGTGTATATATATATGTGTGTATATTTTATATATGTATAAAATATGTGTGTGTGTATACACACACACACACACACACACACACACACACACGTTATTCGTGTAGAGCAGCAGGTGCCATGGCTGGCCACAAATGTGGCAAGAAATCCCTGAAGCAGAAGAAGGTGCAGGAGATGGGAGGAAGATAAGGTTTGGAAGCAAAAACACAAAGAGAAGAAAACCTGAGCTAAAAGTGCAAGCTGTGGGGAAAGGCCTCCTGGCCATAGGTGGAATTAAGAAATGTGGCAAGAAGTAAGCTCTTCCTTGTGCCTGAGGCAATGGTGATCCTTAATTCCATTTCTGTCTTTCCTGTCATAGCATCTGTTGCTATCTATACTTAGAATGAAGAGTTGTCTTAGATCCTGTTATACATTTAAGAATAAACTCTTGTAGGGGTGCCTGGGTGGCTCAGTCAATTGAGCCTTTGACTCTTGATTTCAACTCAGGTCATGATCCCAGGATTGTGGGATCAAGCCCTGCAACCCTGTATCCAGCTCCACAATTAGCATGGAGCTTGCTTAAGATTCTCTCTCCCACCCTCTCCCCGGCTTGTGCACACTCTCTAAAATAGAATAAAATAGGGGCGCCTGGGTGGGTCAGTCGGTTAAATGTCCAAATTTGGCTCAGGTCATTATCTCATAGCTCGTGGGTTCAAGCCCCACATTGGGCTCTGTGCTGACAGCTGAAGAGCCTGGAGTATGCTTTGGGTTGTGTCTCCCTCTCTCTCTCTGCCCTCACTCTGCTCAGGCTCTTTCTCTTAAAAATAAAATAAACATTAAAAAAAATTTCTTTTTAATAGAATAAAATAAACTCTTGTAATATCCACTGTGTAGGGTCTCTGGCTGGCTCAGTCCATTAAGCATGTGGCTGTTGATCTTGGGGTCATGAATTCAAGTCCCACTTTGTGGGTAGAGTTTACTTAAAAAAAAAAAAAAAAAAAAAAAAGGCACCTGGTGGCTCAGATGGTTAAGCATCTGACATTGGCTCAGATCATGATCTCCTCATGGTTCATGAGTTCAAGTCCCGCATTGGGTGAGCATGAACCCTCACTTCAGGTGAACACAGCCTGCTTTGGGTAAACAAGAGCCCTACTTCAGTTGAGCCCAGCTTCTCTCTCCCTCAAACAAACAAACAAAAACTACTGCAGGTCTATCTGTAATAGCAAAATACTGAAAAAATCTAAACATCTACCAGTAAGTTACCGGTTTGAATAGCATTCTATTTCCATACAATGGCGTACCATGCAGTCATTAAAAATGAGCTGTTATGAAATGAACTCCAAAGTTATGAAACACTGCATATAGCAAGCTACCCCATTTGTGTAAGGGAAAAAATGAGTGGATGCACGTAACAGTACATTCAGAGAAAACTATGGAGAAGACACAGATCAAGTCCCAAGAACTAGGATTAAGAGGGAAATTTAAACTTCACTTTATGCTATTAGATATAACAAGCATATTTGAAAATGGATGCATGAGAGGAATGAAAAAATACCAATTCTTTTAAACAGCTTAGAGTAGTGGTTTTCAATCTCAGCTTCTCATTAGCATCACCTATGAGTTTTAAAGAATATTCTAACACCCAGGCCCCACCAGAAAGCACCAGGATCTCACTCAGCTAGTCTGGGATAAGCCCTTGAGTATCACTGTTAAAAGTCCCCAGATGATTCCAATTTTCAGCCACTGTTATGAAATCACAGATTTAGACCAGGAGTTAGCAAACTTTGTCCAGAGGACCAAATAGTAAATATCAGAGGTTTTGTGGGCCATATAGAGTCAGCCTCATATTCTTTCAAGCACTTATAAAATGTAAAAATCATTCTTAGCACCTAAACATTACCAAAAAAGGCCATGGGCTGAACTCACCCATAGGCCATTTTGCCAACCCCCTATTAGACTATGCATAGCCTGGGCTATTTTGCCTGGAAAAGGCACCATGACACAAGGTATGGACAAAAGTGAACAATAAAAGTCACTGCCAAGAAGGTTCTACAATGAAGTCACAAGTCTTCATTCCAGCCCTCTAACTGGCCCCCAAATTCTGGTTTGAGGAGGTGGGAGGGCTCTGGACTCAATAAAAAACTCCCAAGACACATTATAAACCAGCCAGTTTATTATTTTGTAGTAAGATGTGTAACTTTTACCATGCAGACTGATGTACCTATGTCAGCATGAACAGTGTATGTTCTTCCTAGAGGCAGTTACAGGGAAAACCAAGTAATTATCAAGTTACTTGGCAAGTGTGGAATCCAAACAAGGGGAGGCTAAACTTAAAACCTACACCTCCCTCATCCACAAAGCTAGAGCACACTTTCCCACCAAAGGAACAGCTCAGACTCGTTTGCTGTTGTCTCTTTCGTCCCCATCCTGCTCTGGCTAATAAGCACGGTCATCTCCAACAGCTTTACAATAAGCTAGCTTGGCCTCGGGAGTCTTCTTTCTGCTCACTGGTTTTTATCATTCTCTCCACTGTTACTGACAGTTAAGGTTCTGAAAGGGGCACATCGATTGCTCCCATGTTCCAACTACAAGACACCATAATCTTGTTAGGATGCATACCAACTAACCCCACCCCACGTAAGTCTTACCACCTAATATGCTTTATAAAGGTTCATCCTAGTTCCATTAGCACATACACAGGTTACCTATAAATTCACCTGACTAATGTAACCTAATTCCTACTGAAGACTGAGAATTTTAATTATAGCTTTTATTCTTTCGTTTCGATCAGATTTCCAACCATGTAGGAGTTAATGAAATCAATTCTGTGTCACCACTGTTACCAAGACAGAAATACCAAGTGATATGTACTTTTCAGATTAAATTAATGTCGTTTTGTTCTGTAAAATGTAAAAACCAAGACGTACTCCTCAACTTAGTACTATTAAGGGTCATCAAAAAAAGCCTTTGAACAATAGAAAAGTTTTATGTTTTCAAATTGAAAAACTAAACATGTATTGCAAACATTAGGTAATGTTAAAATTACAGAAAACAAAATATTCAGACTAACCCCACAGCATTCACACAACAGAACTGTGTCTGCCAACAAAAGTGAATTTTACCCCAAAAAGTAGTTAAGTCCATGCTCGCTGAAAACATCAGTCCTAGACCCCATGAATGGGGATGAACTACACACTGCATGCTTACCAAACATATACACATTATCATTCTTAACTGCCTCTTCCCAAAGCACTGAGGGGTAGGACGGATGAAATGTGGACCCGTGTACTCACACAGGCAGAATTCTTCAATTATAAAAACTCGTACATGTGACCCTCACTATGTTTTAGGCAATAGCTAAGATTTTATCTGTGGGAACCCACCTCTGAAAATCACAACAAAAATCTATAGGAAATGATTTAATATAAAATATACAAATTTCTCAGTATGAGGACTTCCACAGAACAGGGAGAAGGGAATGACAACAAAAAAAAATTTTTTTTTTTCCTTAAAAAAAAAAAAAAAAAAAAAACACTCCTCTTATGTTCTCCTTACTACTCAACACTCAAAAACAAATCTGTACAAAACTATGGACACAGAAAAGGACCAGAGGAGTTGTGACAATGCAAAGTCTTCGGACCTATTCTAAACTGTCCTCACCAAGACCCTTCCTTAAGAGAGCTGATGGTTCCCAGGTCCACTGGGGAAAGCAAGTGGTCTCCAATCATCACCCTACTTCGCCACAAATGGCCCCAGGTCATTCGCTGTCAAACTTAATGGAATTGACCTGGACAGAGATGGAGCCTCCCCGGTAGCTGCCACGCTTCTTCTTGGTTTTTTCATGCCGAAACGATTTGCCTTTGGTGAACTTCAGAACCTGATTGGCTCGCTCCCCCCAGTCTCCAGCTGCACCCCGCTGGTAAGCAGAGAGAAGTGGTTAATACACAGAAGGACAATAACAAGGCCCTGTTACTTTCTTCTCTTTGCTCAAGGCAACCTGAACCCAGAGAGCTTCCCACCAACCTAAACCAAAATGCTGTCCTCTCTTCCACCCATTCCCCTCAAGAATAGCCAACACCTGCACCCCCCTCACCTTGGCATCAAAGGAGTTGTCTGCCACTCGAGCATCTACCTCGATTTCCTCCTCCCTGATCCTTCGGAATGGTGATGATGCCCTTTTTTCTCCCTGGAGAAGAATGAAGTAAGAAACTAAACATGTTCTGTCATGTAACAGAAAAGCCCTCCTCAGCTACACATAGGAGCATTTAGGGCAGGCCAGGCAGAGAGTTGTCAAGATGATCCCAGATTTTTCTTTCTACTCTTTAAAAGCGGACTCCTGAGAAAGAAATAACTTACTTTCTTCCTTTTTGGAAACGTGTTGGGGGTCTGGGGCTTTATCTTCTTGGCTTGAGGAGTCTCCGCCTCCTTGGCAGCTTCATTCTGCTTCCGCTTCTTTCCTGAACCTACAAAACAGCCAGACTCAGGAGACCAGTTTCCTATTCCTCCTCCCAAGTTCCCACACACTGAATGCATACAACTGGAAGCCTAATCGTAGGCCTCCTCTCCCTGTCCCATCCCCCAAAAGTATATCCCACCCAATTCTTTGGATATGGACCTGGCTTAGAAACTGCGGTTGTCTTTTTCTTTTCTTCTTCCTCATTGCTGTCCTTGTCTGCTTTTCCATTCTGGGTAGTCAGTGCAGAGGTCCCATTGGTCTTCAGCGCTTGTGGTCTTATATTGCCTTTGCCCTTAGGCTTCTCCTCCTCCTCCTCCTCCTCACTGGAATCATCAGAGGAAGAGCTGCTACTCTCAGCCTTTGCTTTCTTTGTGGCGGCTGGCTTGGAAAAGACTACCACTCCCGCTGTCTTCTGTGGCTTCTTTTTAACTGGGGATTTTGATATCTTCTCTTCCTTCTCTTCCTCACTGCTAGAGCTGTCTGAATCAGAGCTGCTGTCCCTACCACCCTGAGAGGACTGTTTGGCAGCCAGAGATGGAGCTGCTTTGGCCATTGCCTTTGACTTGGGGGTGGCCACAGTCTTCTTCGTCTTCTCCTCTTCACTAGAACTGCTCTCCTCCTCACTGGAGCTGCTATCAGCCTTTCTGGTCAGAGGCTTCTGGACATTGCCTGCACCTTGCTTGGGAGCTGTGGCTGATTTAGCTGCAGGTTGCTTGGGAGTGGCAGCTGGCTTACTTGGGAGATTCTTGGTGGTACCAGTTGACTTGGCAGGAGCTTCATTCTCAGAACTGTCAGAGTCTAGACAGAGAAGACAGAATAAACAAGTCAAATGGAAGGGAGCCCCTGGAGTCCCCACTGCCCTGATGGCCTCCATATGCTTCACCTGAGCTGTCTGAAGAACTCTCTGATGCCTTCTTTGCTGGAGCTGGTTTAATGGTTGCTTTAGAGATGACTGTCTTAGCTGGGGGTTTCTTTTCTTCTTCAGAACTCGAATCTGGAGAGAACCTATGGCATTAGGCTGGGACCGGAGTCCCGACCCAATCAAAAGCAATAAAAAGAAGGATGCAAAGACCCACACGGCCCTGTTTGTCCTGCTTCAGCGAAAAGCAAAAGAGACAGAGGTATTTTTGTCTTCCATATTCCTCATGTAGCTTCCCAGACCCAGTCTCCACAGGTGGGGACTCACCAGACTCATCACTGCTATCCTCACTGCTCTCTACAGTCTCCTTCTTCTCTGCAGCTTTCTTGGGAGCCTGGGTTCCCAGGGACTTCTTGGATAGGGCAGCAGAAGGTGGGGGGACTGAACTATAGGGACCTGTTTAAGAAAGACAATGTAATGGTTTTAATGTACATATAATAATTCTTTGATTCTGCTCCCTTCTAGAAATGAAGCTTAATTCCTCTTCCTTTGAGTGTGGGCTAAAATTAGTGAGTCATTTCTAACCAAAAGAATATGGCAGAGATGATGGCATATCGTTTCTGCATCTGGGTTGTAACAAGCAATGCAGATTTCTCTGGGAGAAGCGAGCTGTCATGTCAAGCGGTTCTAAGGAGAGGTCCACGTGGTGACTGCAGAGATCCTCCTGCAGTTGGATCTGGTCACAGTCATGCAGCTTGAATCCCGATGTCCAGTTACCTGGTTTTTTCTTAATGGGTTTTTTCTGCTCCTCCTCCTCTTCACTTGAGGAGTCCTCGCTACTGGAACTCTTTTGGGTAGGGGTGGCTGCTGCTTTCACTGGAGCCTTGACCACAACTTGCTTTTTAGGTACAGTCTGCATTATACAGACAAAGTCAGTTACCACAGGAAAATGCTGGTCCAACCAATCCTGCCAGGAAATGGAGAAACCCCCACCCCCGTGCCCAGTCCTCTGGTAGAAGTTACGGCCCAAACCTTCTTAGGTATGGCTGCTGCCTCCTCCTCCTCTGAGTCATCACTACTACTACTGCTGCTGCTGCTGCTGCTGCTGCTCTTACTGCTGGCTGCTTTGCCATTGGCTATTTTAGGTGCCACCCGAGCTGGTGTACCTAAGAAGGAAAAAAAAAGCGTTAAGAAGTATCAAGCCCGGGGGCGCCTGGGTGGCTCAGTCGGTTGGGTGTCAGACTTCAGCTCAGGTCATGATCTCACAGTCCGTGAGTTCGAGCCCCACGTCAGGCTCTGTGCTGACAGCTCAGAGCCTGGAACCTGCTTCGGATTCTGTGTCTCCCTCTCTCTCTGCCCCTTCCCTCCTCATGCTATCTCAAAAATAAATAAAACCATTAAAAAAAAAAGAAGAAGAAGTATCAAGCCTGTAAGGGACCATAGAAACCTGTAGCTCAGAACTTAGGAGTCTACCAGTCCTCTTGCCTTTAGAGCAGGCATGAGGGGGACTGCTGTGGCTAACTATCAAAGGATGACTTTCCTGACTAATTTCAAGAATAAAACTATCTTTAAGATAATGATATAATGTAAATAATTCAAATATGCTCTAGGAGATCTTTCATTCCAACTTCCATTCAGAGAAGCTCCTATAAATCATAACCTGTCACCATGAGAGAACTACAGAAGTTTAAACTCTCACATGCCCTATGGAGTGAATGCACAGGAGAAATAACGGTAGTGAAAAGGACAAAGGATAGAGATAGAAATGGTCATTACAGAATGGGATCTATGAGAATAGAAATCGTCTATGAAATCGACAAGAATGGCAAATGGATACCATTCTTAAAAAGTTTTCCTTACTGTAAGCTATCTCTAATACCGAACTCCTAATTACATAATCTTAACTTATTGATAAAAAGCTTCTTAAAAAAAAGACACTAATTTTATACCTAATTGTAAACTTTGTCAGAAGTCTTGTTTTGTACTTGTTAAGCTGATCATAATTTTTGGATAATGTTTAAACATTACTTTTCATACTTGAAATAAACATTTATTAAAAAAAAAAAAAAGACACTAATCAATACCTCTAGTTCAACAACCACTACCATTTCACTCCTGTGCTGAATAAACAATTTTGAAAACATGCTTATTTTTTTTTAATTTTTTTTTTTTTATGCTTATTTATTTTTGAGAATGACAGGGAGCGCAAGCGGGGAAGGGGAAGAGAGGAGGAACAGAAGATCTGAGGCTCATGCTGACAGCAGTAAGCCCAATGTGGGGCTCGAACTCATGAACCATGAGGTCATGACCTGAGCTGAAGTCGGACACTTAACCAACTGAGCCACTCGGGTGCCCCCGAATAAGCAATTTTAATACCAGTCCCCACAGCAACCCCAGACTGGGCTTTTGGGAACAGAAATAATAGTACCTGATTTGGCTGAGGCTTTAGCTTGAGCCTTAGCTGCCACAGGTGTTGTCTTTGGCTTCTGGTTCTTTGGTGCCTCATCTTCTGAGCTTGAGTCTGAATCAGAATCAGAGCTCTTGGCCTTCTTAGGAGGAGCTTTGACTGCCTTGGGTTGGGGCTTAACTCCCTTCTGTGAGAAAACACACAATAAGGGGGAGTATCAGCAAACTTCTGGTACCCAAAGTACATCCTAAGGTAGAAACCATCCTAGACTATTTTTTAGGGGCTAACTAACAGAACAATAAAAGCAAGGGGAAGTTAAACAAGAAAGCATCTGGGAGTGGCTGGCTGGTTTAGTTGGTAGAGCATGCAACTCTTGATCTCAGGATCATGGGTTCGAGCACCATGTGTGGTACAGAGTTTACTTAGAGAAAGACAGAAACAGAAAAAAAAGAAAGACAGAAAGCAAGCAAGCATCTGAAAAGAGCACCAAACTCTTCATAAGAAACAAAAGTATCAGCCCTGTCTCTGCCATTCCCTACTTAGAGCTCCCAACACCTACCTACAAAACAGACTCTTACTCTTGGGAGTCTTAGTATCCCAGAGAAACCTAATATCACCTGGGAAAACAAAACGGGTTCCTCTAGATTAAGAGTACAATTTCAACCTCGCATATCCTTTCCAAACTTCATACTTCTATCATCTCTCTCAAAGTCCTCAGATTTTCTTCTCCATGGTCATTTGTTATATACCACTGCCATCCCTTGGTTCCAAGCTATAAGCCAGGATTTCAGGTTTTTTCTAATTCCTTAAGCAACCTCTTTCCTCTCCCAAGTTGCAAACCTGAACAGGCTTTTTCTTCTTGTCCTCCTCCTCCTCATCACTGGATTCTTCACTGCTGCTGCTCTCTGTTGCTTCAGCTGAAGCCTTTCCACCATGCTGAGGCAGACTGGCCCGCTTGGCAGGTACAACTGAACAAAAGCACAGACACCAGTGAAAATCAGCCATGGGTACTGGCAGGCTACAAATCCCTTTCTGGGAACCACTAACCCCAACTACCTGCCCACCCTTACCAGCTTTCTTAGCTGGAGGCCCTTGGGTTTCTTCCTCCTCACTGCTGTCCTCACTGCTGTCAGTGGATGAAGTCTTCTTCTTAGCCTTCTTAGTCACTGGTCCGTTTACCTGTAACTTCCGCTTTGGGGCCTTGGTGGACCTGCTGAAGTAGATGAGGCTAACCTTTGAGGGCTCAGGACCTTCTCACACCAAGGAACACAGCCCGACCCCTTGGGGGGAAAAATAGCCACAGTGGTACAGGGAAGACTTACTTGAGCCAGAAGCTGTAGATGTCCAAGAGGGAAGAGGCGTTGGCGTCCTGTTGGGTCTAGAGAAGAAAAAAGAAAGGTCAATAAGAAAATTTTATCCTGGTTGTTCCAGGGGAAATTAGATCTTATTTTATTCTCTCATTAAAAGTAGCCAGTTTTATATCTACTGCATTTGCTGTAAATGTTACACCTTTGGAAGACTTCTCCGACTTGCTTAAATTAAGAGAACAATAGCCTGTTTATGTACTCCCCCAATTTTTGACATCAAAAGCTTGGGTTACTCCTGTATATAGTTTTTGGCACCATCTATTCCCAGTCAGTCCTATTTATCACATTTTTAAGAAAATGTGCATTCCCTTTATTTTAGCAATGCATTGCCTAGAAACGTATCCTTACCCATGAAACAAGAACACAAACATTAATACGAGAGTGTTTGCTGCAATGTGGTTTATAATACCAAATCACTGGAACCCAGCTTCCAAAACTGGTTAAAAAGCTAAGCTATATACTCAATACAAAATTCCATTCAGCTATTAATTACACTGATATAGATTATTAGTTGATGCAATAAAAAAAACATAATGGCAGGACATTACAGTATCAATAAGAGTATAGGCTCAGAATCAGACGAGTACAGGTATGAAACTCACCTCTATCTGTTACTACTGTGTGACTCTGAGCAGATTATTTAATCTTTCTGAGACTGTTTTCTTCACTATAACATGAAGATAATACTATACATCTTATTAAGTGGTTTAGAGAATTAGAGATAGCATACGTAAAGGACTTAGTATCTGGAAACACCATGTAGCACTTAGTAAGCCATCCAACAAGGATTAGTTTTTGTCACATAAAAGAATCCTGATTCTCAAAGGCCCAATTCCACCCAGCCCCTTGTGGAAACACTTTCTGCAGGCTCCCTAACAGTCAATTCAAAAACTGTTCCAATATGAGGGGTGCCTGGGTGGCTCAGTCGGTTAAGCATCGGACTTCAGCTCAGGTCATGATCTCAGAGTCTGTGAGTCCAAGCCCTGCATCGGGCTCTGTGCTGACAGCTCAAAGCCTGGAGCCTGCTTCAGATTCTTTGTCTTCCTCTCTTTCTGCCCCTCCCCCACGCTCTCACACTCTCCCAAAAATAAACACTAAAAAAAATAAAATAAAATAAATTTTTTAAAAGTTCCAATATGAAAGCAGTTGTAGGAGATCACATGGCAGGCTGTCCCAGCTTAAAGAAGTCATTTCTAAAGCTGATTTGGTTCTGTTCTTGTGCAGCCTGATTCTGCCACAAAGAAACCTATCTTCTTAGTCAAAGGCTAAGAACACTATCAAAGATTACTACACTCTACTCTCATGTTTGCTCTTCTTGAAAGGGAGATTCCAAACCTTTCACCTCCCTAGCCACCTTCTCTTTACATGTGTTTAAAACATCTTTAATTAATATAACTCTCATAACAGCTTTCGCTCATTGATGCTTCCTGAGCATCAGGCACCTAGATTGTCACTTCATATTTATCATGTTACTAAAATTCACAAAAATCCTATAAAGTGGATGATGACATTCCCCACAGGAATAGAAACAGAATCAGAGAGATTGGGCAAGCTGCTCAGGTTATACATCCTAAAAAGTGACAGAGCCTGGTCCCAAATCTAAATGTGCCTGATTCCACAAGTCGAAGATCCAAGACCACTGCTTGCTAGGGCTTTGATGCTCAGTTCTGCTTCAATATACCTTAAAGCAGAACCATGCCTCTACTCTCATTTTGTTCTTTACTAACGAAAAATCCCATCCTTCATTTATATATAAAAGCAATTTTATCATTGAGTCCCGGGTAAATTCTGAGAGTTATGGTCAAGTCACGCTTTGCATCAGCCAGCGTAAAACCCAAAGGAGAAACCAAGAGCCCCCAATGCCTCCGGCAGGACACCACGCTCCCTCCTCGCCGCACTCCGCCAGCCACGTGACCTGGGCCACGAGGATCCCACGCTGCTGTCGTTGCACCGCTCACCAGAAAAAAGCAACAAGACTCTGCGCTATCTACTGAGACCTCGTGGGAGACCAGGTGCGGAGACTCTAGGCTCTAGGCTCTCGGCTCACCGCCAGGAGCTCAGCACAAAGGGTCCGCAGATACTGCACTGGCAGACCCCAGAGACCTCCGTACCCGCAAACCTGAACCTGTCAGGGCCCGAAGTCCTGTGGTCATCCCACCCCAGCCTTTGCCCCAAGCCCGCACTCACAGCGCCTGTTGCCTTGGCGAATTTACTGGCCACCTCCGACAGCTGGTTATCGCGCAAAAAGCCGAGCACGAGCGGATACAGGTCGCTGGGAACCACGCGGCGCAAGCCGGCGTCCGCCATCCTCCGGGCAATACGCGTCACTACCGTTGCTGACGCGCACAACGCAGGAACTCGGGAACCCGGCGGAACGACGGCGGATCCGTTGTGACGTCATCGCGCGGCGCGGGGGCACAGCGGAAGGGGCGGGCACTCCCCACAGGGCAGTTCCGCCTCCACTTCGGAGGCAGGATCGAGGCGAAATCTGTAAGGTCTTTCCGGTGCCACAAGTGTCGCCATCTTGGTAAGGGCGGAGCCCTTCGTCCGCCACCTTGTGAAGGCGGAGCCCTGACGTCACGTGTCCCGCCCTCGGTAGTGGCGGGAAATCTCCAGCCTTCCCGCGCTCTGCTAGAGCCACTTTTTTTCAGAACTGCGGTTTCCGGAGCCGCAGCTGGGATTCGCATTCCAGAGTGAGCCGGGAGGCTTGAGCGGTCCTTGGACTCTCTAGACTAGGGTCACAGGATCTCCCAATCACTACCGTTCGCACGGCCAGAGAATTCCCACCCTTCCATCTTCCCTGTCTCCACTAAGCAGAAGAGGCCGTTAGATACCACCCCAGCCCCTGTACTCCCACCTCAAATACAGAGGATCCTTCATTTTATCCATGGTAATAGAGGGACGATTCCCCAAAAATGCCCCTACCTCATGATTTGCCCATGAGACAACCCCTTCCTCTCTTACATATTCATTCAGCATTAGGTCAGCTCCATGAAATGTAAAGCCATTGCACCAACCCTGAGCAATACAGCAGCAGCAATCTCTTCAAATCTATAATCCTGGAAATAATCCTCCTACCTCCCGAGTCACAGTTCACACCTGAACTCTCCCTGTGGGAGAACTAGAAAACCCTCCCAAGTGTCTGTCATGATATTCAAAAATCAATGCCCAGGCCTGCCAAGTTAATTCCAAGTTTTATCACATTTCAGTTCACATTAGCAGACATCAATCCCTTTACCCACTACCCTTTGACTACTTCCCATTAATAAACCTTCTGAAGGGTAAGGTAATAAACCTTCTCAGGGGACCCATGTCTCCTTTGCTTTTCTCAAAATAGGCACTCTGCTAACAGATATAACTCCTACAACTCCCTCTTTCCCAGAGGTCTGTCCACATGCATGTGTTCTTCTGAGTACCTCTTGTGTACCAAGCGTGCTCAAGCTAAAATGGTACATGTACACAGAAGTTTCTGTTTAGAGATCCTTCATTTGGAACAACTGCAAACTTCCTCCAGGTTCTTGATGGTGAAATCCCTTCCTTGAGACTGCAGCATCAGCATCCCTTTGTTTGAAATGCAGAATCTCAGGCTCCACCCCAGAAGTCAGAATCTACATTCTGAAGAAATCCCTTTTAAAGTTTGAGAAACACTGCCCTAGAAGACTGATTTCACAGACAACACAACCTGAGGAGACAAGTATCAAGTCCAATAGGATTTTGCATCAAACCAAAGAGGGGTCCTAGGAACTAAATGGAGGTAAGCATGTCCCTGATTGTATTCAGATTGGAAAAGTGAGTATGTCTGGCACTAGCACCATTGAAAGAAGCACAACAGCACTTGGAAATTGTTTGTAGTTCGTGTTTATTGGTCTGCATAGTGCCTTAGAACTTCCAAACACAGGGGAACCCCTCAGCCCCATCTTAACATAGGAATGAGTTAACTTGTTTCAATGCCTGTTATAAAAAAACAAATAACCCTTCAAAAATCTGATTTAACACATTTTTTATTTCACTTTTTTCCATTTCTTTATAAAACAGTCATCTCACTAGCAGCTCTCTCCCCTAAATTGGGGGAGGGGAGGGTGGAGGAGGTTGGACACCTCCAAAGAAAGAGGGAAGGGGGAGAAGGGCCCAGGGTTACCTCCTGAGGTTCTTCTGGGCCTGTTTCAACAATGTGTCAAAGTCAAGAGAATCAAATTTGCTCTTTACAGGAGCAGGGTCAAAGTCTTCCCGGTTGGAGTCTATAAAAATAGAGACAGACATCAAGGTCTCTGACAATACTTCCCAATCACAGGGTCCTCAAATGGCCAGCCTCCTCCCACCCCAATAATGGATGGAATAACATCAATCACCCTGGTTTTAAGTAAATAAGACTAAAGAGCCCCCATTTCTCCTCTCATCCCACCCCCTTTGTGTTCTTTGTGTGTCACATAGAGACAAGTCTACCTAGCTCCACTCTCAAAAGGCTGGAAACCCTTCTGGGGACAATATGAAGTATACCAAAGCCTCGGGGTCTCCTCCACTCACCAAGATCAGAATAGCTTCTCTTGCAGAACTGCCTGCGGCCCCCAAAGCAGAGATCAAAGGGCTGCTCATCTGCCTGCCTTAGCTTGTGGCCACTCTCGATGGCTGCAAATGCCTCTTCAGCATAGCGGTAAGTGACGAAGCCGTAGTTGTCACTGGTGAGGAAGGTGAGGCAGAGGCTGGGATGGCTATTTAGGCACTTGCCAAGGAGAAGAGATACTTCCCAGGGTAGAGAGAGACTCGGGTAGTTCTTCTTCCCCAAATGGCCAACCCTCTGACTAGGAGTGAAGGTGTCATCCTACATTGCCTAACACACCAGAGGAAGGAAGGGGGAAAGACAAAGCAGCATCAAGGTAGACAAATGGGGTGGAAAGGACATTCTGACCTATAGGTCCAACCTTACCCTTGGACACGGAAGTGGATAGTGCACTCCTCAATCTCTCCAAAAACAGAGAACCTCTGTTTCAATTCTGACCGAGTCATGCGGCCAGGTATCTTCCCAATGAAGACCACTCTTCTCTCCTCCTATGTTGAGACAAGGAAAATTGACACACCATGAGCCAAGGCCACTGCTGCAGAAGGCTCTCCAAGCTCATGGCTCAGGGGCAAGCCCCATCCTCCCAGGACCTATTCCTCTACTCACTATTGCACGCTCCTTCTGCAGCACTCTCTGCCTTTGGTAATGGTCATGTGAACGATAAGAGCTGTACCTGACATGAAAAGAAGGTGCCATCAGCCCTCCAGACATTAGACAACTCAAGTCTCAGAACTCTCAAATTTGGGATTTGCATCCCAGATACAGACTCCCTGATCACACACTCACCTCCGCCTCCTGTCACTTCTTCGGCGGGGGGATGGGGAGCGGGACCGGCTTCGGGAACTGGATGACGAAGATGAGGAAGATGAGGAAGATGAGGAAGATGAGGAAGATGAGGAGGAGGACGAGGAAGAGCATCTTCGGGAACGTCCAGAAGAACTGCAACTGGATCTAGAGAATAAAGAGGCACGTAGGAATGCTGGGAGTGGTGCAGATATATTCTGCTTACCTCACCTTGGCCCCAACCTTGCCTCCCTGTCCGGAAGCTCAGGACCAAAGGCAAAGCAGAGGAAAAGAGATCTAGAAGAACTCCACAGATGACCAAACTGAGCCCTCATGAATTTTAGGCGTTTTTGGAATGTTTTAGAGTGTTCTCACATAGATCATAGTTATTTTCAACTGTGCAATTAACAACAAAAACGTTTAACAAGTCAAAGAAAAATAAATGGAGACTTGGGAATAAAGGGCTGGGCCCTAGGTCTAGCTGGGGATGCCAGGCCTGGGTCTCTGGGTTCCTGCTCCCCTAACATGTCTCATAGCAGTACTGTGACCAGGATGTAAAAAGGAGGTGACTTGCTAGACATGGAGTAGAGGTCATTTCTTAAGAGGTCATTCTGGCTCAGGGGCACCTGGGTGGCTCAGACGGTTAAGCGTCCCACTTCAGCCAGGTCATGATCTCACAGTTAGTGAGGCTGAGCGCCACATTGGGCTCTGTGCTGACAGCTCAGAGCCTGGAACCTGCTTTGGATTCTGTGTCTCCCTCTCTCTGCCCCTCCCCCACTCGTGCTCTGTCTTGGCTCTCAGAAAATGAATAAACATTAAAAAAATTTTTTTAAAAAAGAGATTATTCTGGTTTAAAAACAAAAAATTATTCATGGATTAAGTAGGAAAATCTTGGTCTTTAACTGAGAAAAAGGTATTGCCAGAAAACGTATGAGGCCACAGTGACAACCAAAGAAACTGCCCAGACTCTTTCCTGGACAGATGATTAGAAGAGCTGCCATTAACAAGCTACTTATCCCACCTTCCAACATCCCACAAGAAAAGAGCAGAAGTGAGGACTGATAAAGTATGTAAAGGATCAAACACGGGCGAGACGCAAGCCTAATGGTCTCCCCAAGGCAGGGGTCAAGGAAGCAGCAGACCTCGGTGATCCCCAAACTCAAACAGGGTATAGAAGCTAAATTCTCACAGCTTGCCTCCTTCAATAATCCAGGAAAGGGGGAGAAGACAAAAGCCAAGGACAGAAGTAGAAGCCTTAATGCCTGAAAGCATCAAGCTCAATGTGCAAAAGCTTTCTAAGTAAACCAGAGGAGAGCCCATGGACTTCCTAAATGAAGAGGACCTAACAGGCCATCAGAGCTCACCTTCGCCACCTCTTGTGTGGGGGGGAGAGGGACCGGGACCGGGACCGGGATGAGGAAGACGACGATGAGGATGAGGAGGAAGATGCTTCGCTGGTCCGGTTGGACCCAGAGCTGATAGAACGGCTGCTGCGGCCATGGCAGCCCTGCCAGCCCCGGCTTGGGGGGCTGGCCGACCTGCAGGCTTTTCGGTAACAGCGCACCGACCGCTGCTTGGCTGAGGGCTCAGGGGGAGTCCTAGTGTTCATGTCATTCCGGCAAGGTGAGGCCTCAGGGGAGAGCAAGGCGGACGGGGCAAGGCAAGTTGCTGGGGCATCTGCCTGCTCACTGCTAGTCCTGTGATCAAGTGGCTCCTGGGAGGCAGCTGTGCGTGGGGGCAGGGGGGCGGCCAGGCCCAGGGACAAGACGGGTTTGATGGTGATGTCCTGATGGCGTTTGACGTTCCATCGGGAGCCCACCTCTGGAATGACTAAGGCAGGCGTCTTTTTGGGGGGAGTCCTGCTCCGGACACAATAGTCATGGTCCCCAGAGCCCACATGGACTGGACTAGGGCCATGGACCCCTTCTTGGAGGCAGGCTGCAGCTGGATGTTTGGCCTCTGTAACTCCTTCAGGCTTCAGGGTTCCCTCCTGGGCGGTGGACTTAGGAGATTTGGCTTTGGCCAGCAGTGAAACAGCAGCCAGGGGCTTCCATAATTGGTGGGGAGGGGTGGCTGGTGGGGTGAGCCCTGTGAGGGGAGGGAGGATGGAGATAGCAGGATGAGATCCGATTCTACACTTCCAGGGGCTCCAGAGACCCCTACCTCATGTCACAAAGTACACCAAAGGTCAACAGCCCAACTTCTCCCACTATTGCAACTATTCCTTCCCCCAAGTTCCCCATCTTGGGGACCAAGCAATATAAACCCAGACAGCTAGCGTCCTCCTGAACCCCTCAGCCTCTCACTGCCCAAACCTAGTTAGTGACCAGCTCCTATATGGTCTACCTCTCCATTCTTAGACCCAGCCCTCCCCCTACACTGCCTGGGCTGCATCTGCCTGGACTCCTGTAATCACCTTCCAATGATCTCCTGCCTGGGGCTTCATGCCCATCCACCTGTTTTCTACATTCCTGCTACAGGGAACACCCCATAACCAATTGCTTCTTCAATGCAAAGATAAAGTCCAAACAGCTTAACACGGCATTCAAAGTTCCCTTCATCTGACTTCCTACTTAACACTTCAGCTTTATCTCTTGCTTTAGTTCTGCCCACCACCCTCATCAGCCACTACACTCCAGTCAAACCAAACAACTCATAATTCCCCAAAACATACCAGGCTGGTTTCATTTCTTCAGTTCTCCAGCAGCTCCATCTCCCCAGAATGCCCCATCCCCTGAATCTAATTGGTATTAGTGATCTTCTCAAACCTCTGCCTCAGGGATAACACCAACTGTACATGACCCTCCCCTGACTGACCCATTTCAGATCCCACTATAAACCACAAAGGCTCCTTTAACATACGATCTCTGATACTCAACATGCTCGTTTATACATCTGCTCCCTGGACTGTGAGAATCTCAAGGATGAGGATCAGATCTCTGTATTCCCAACAACTACACACACCCAGTGCAGGGCAGACTCTACAAACATTCGCTGCATAAACTAATCAAAGGCAGAATTCCCCACCCTGAACCCACCTGCCACGTTGGCCAGTTCTGGGGCTTGTAACCGGTCTAGGGGCCTCTTCTCCTGGGGAGTGTCAACGTTGCTGGCGGGGGAAAAGGGAAAGCCTGGTTCATTGCCTCCTCAACATCTTGTATATGTTTTCCTCATAAAGCAACGGGAGAGGGGTGTGTGCAGAGAATAGGATACACAAACTGCCCCTATCATTCTCCTCCAGCACAAATGCGAACTTACTGACTGAATGTAGTTTGGGTCTCAGCTCAGCTCTGTCCAATTCTAGGAGGCAGGCTGGCTATGACCTTAAATACCCCCCACCTCCTTTAAGCCAGGAGACTTGCCTGCCTAGCTCAAACCAACCCAAAATCAACATGGATGGGAATATGCTTGGCAGAACAGGATAGGGTACTATGAACATGAAAAATGAAAAAAGGCCTCTCAGTGCTGGAAGACTGAGGAACAAGGAGGTCCAAGGTACTTCGTCCAAGGAGTCAGGAGAGCCCTAGCCACCAACATCTTACCCCACTTGATCTTTTATCATCACTAGTGTTGAGCAAGCTTAACACTTGATAAAAGGAAGGAAAGAAATCCCCAAAGGCACAATTTGCCAGAAGACAAAAGGCAACTCCAGGACATCTGGAATCCCAGACTGGAATCAGCCAGAGGATGGTACACACCCTCCTACCTACCACCCAAGACAGTGCCCAGTAGTGATGAGCTGAGGAGGGGAGGGGGAAACAGGGAAAGACTCTAAAGCTGACTAAAAGCCCTGTAACAGAGGCATCCAGTTGACGGTCCTGAAGCACCGGCCGGCTGCTGACCAACAGCTGTAGGGTAACTCGCTCATATGTCTCCATACTCACCCTGAGTTTCCTACAGCCAAGCTGTCAGCAGGAGCCGGGGGAGGGCACTCCTTTTTGGCTGCAAAGAAACCAAATTAGTTAAAAGGCCAACCAGATGTTCCAGATTGAGGAGGCATAGAAGGGCTGGCTTTGAGACCCAAAGAAGAAAAATCCACTCTGTGTACATATTTCACTGGACTCTCCCCAGAGAGATCCATTCTCTTCTAGTAGGTAGCCAGGTACTATTTTTAATCATGTTTCTGCTCAGAAATATCTGTTAACTTCCCAGTGAATCTGAGATAGAGTCCAAACTCCTAAGACTAGCGTTCAAGGTTCTATATGATCTAACTTCCCAGTCTTGGTCTATTCTGGTTCTACACTTATACCATATTACATTTTTCCTTGTATTGTAGATAACTTGTTACTAACTCAGGGGACATTTATGTAATTTTCCTCCCCTATTAGACCATAAGCTCCTTACGAACAGGACATAGTATCCTCCAGAGCACCTAGATCCTTGCTTTGTACTGAGTAAGCTCAGCTATCCACTGTATTCCAAACATACAATCCTTATACTTCTGCCTTTATTCACTACACACGCATCCTGTATTTCAGAGCCCAGCCTAAGAGCCAGTTTTCTAGAAAAATGTCCCCAACCAACCCAACCCACCGGGACCTCCACATCCAACTACTCTTTATAATTCTTGCCATGCTTACTGCCACCTGTCCCTGGCTTAGACTGTATTGTCCATGAACCTGGTCTTCCCCTTGCAATCAGATTGAAACTACTTCTCTGGGACTGAGACCGCCCCTCCACCGTTCCCTTCCTTCCACCTAAGCAACTACAGGGCTGGGCCCAAATAAAGCATCAATAAAAAGGGGTTATAGCATAGCTACCTAGGTGCCCTCACCTTCAGATTTCTCAAACTGCTCCAGCAGACTGGACAGGTCCGATGCCTCAATTCCTGTGGAAGTACACAACACAGGATTGGAATCCAGCCCCTATCGACTGAGTGCCCAGGTCCTGGAATTCCCAAGTCATCTCCCAAATCAATTCCCTTGATGCTGTCCCTAACCACTGTACTAAGCAAACCAAGGCAGCAACACAAAGCAGAAATCAAACAAACCCAGAGCTCTGTCTCTCAAGAACCCTCCAAAAAAACAAAGAACCTCCAAACAAATCTGACAAAGACCAGTCCCTATGAGAGTGGTTTATCGTGTTCTATGGAGGACACGCCCCATCCAACCCCCATGCCTTTCACATCAATTAAACCATGTGGCACTTACCAATCTCACTGATGAAAGCCTGTACCACGTCCTCAGGGCCTTGAGTCCGTGGGGTAGGCAGGAAGGAGAGTTTCCTTAGACGGGCTGGGTGGACAGCAGGCACCTTAGTTACAGTGCTCTGCTTTAGTGTGGGTGTAGGAACAACCTTGGTAACAGGAGAGGGGGGCTTCTCCCTGGGCCTTGTCTCCTGGATCTCAGGCTTTAGCCTCTCTGATGCAGGCTCCTCAACATCCACACTCTCAGCAGACAAACACGGTGGAGCCTTAATCTGGGGGCTTTGCATTGGGGAGGACACCTTAGGTTTCAGATGAGGAGACACAGGCACTGACTTGACTTCCACCTTGGTGGGCTCCACCTTGGTGGGCTCTATCTGCAAAGCTCCCTGGCCAGTTGACCCAAGACTGAGAGGAGGAGCCATTGGCACAGAAAGTACACTTTCAGGAGGGCCAGCTGGGATGCCACTGGGCTCCACCTTGGGTGGGGGAGCAGCTCTCCCAACAGATGCCAGAGGCAAAGGAGGTGGTGGCATAGAAGGCCAGAATGGAGGGTGTTGCAGCCCTGGGCCCCATCCCAAGGGCCCATAGGCACAGCTGGAGCTGTAAGGTGGGACTGGGGCTGGAGGGGGTACCCAAGGCACATTGCAAGTGGGGGGCACAGCATAGGTGCCAGGAGTACCAGATACTAGGGGCACTGTTGGTGGCGGGGGGAGGCATGGATAGCCAGAAGGGGACACAGGGGGATAACAAGGCCAGGGTGGCACAGGAGCATAATGAGTATAGGGATCAGGTGGCACTGGTCCCATAGACATTGGAAGACTGGGAGGCTGCAAGGGAGGTGGGGGCAGACTGGGGATCCCTTGCCCACCTGTAGGAAGGGGCATCATGGGAGTCATGCCTAGCCCACCTGGGGGAAAAGGCAAAGCAGTGGGCATTGTGGAGGGCATGGACTGCACAGTAGGAGGTGGAAGTCTTGCTGGTAGTGGCATCTCTTGGGATGGCACCTGTTCAGTGGGAGTTGAGGCCACAGGTTTGCTTGCAGGTGGCTCAGGACTAGGAGAAGCAGGGCTGGGACCCATAGGCACAAAGCAAGCCTCAGGAGGAACCTCAGGGCTTCTCTGCAGAGTTGTCTTCTTGGCTGGGGCTGGTGGGATGACAAGACAAGGGATGTCTGCCAGCCCTGTGGGGGTCTCTGGGAGACTAGGCCACTTCCCAGCTGGGGGCTGGGGACTCCTCTCTTCTGCATCTGCTTGGCGCTGCTGCCTTCGTCGCCGGTACTCTGATAGGCTAAGAGGCCGAGGTCTGGCTTCCTGGGTTGTCGCACTGGTACTACTTTCTACCTTCAAAGGACCCACAACCTCCCGGACTTCGGGGATGATGGCCTTTAGGGGGTCCAAGGACTCTGACTCCAGAAGTAACTGGGGAGCTGGACTCCCCTGGACTGAAGACACTGCACCACGTCTGGGATCAGATGGCCTAGATTTAACTAGCACAGGATCAACTGGAGCCAGGTCACTGGGAACAGAGTCAACTGGTGCGGAGTCGGCTGGGACAGGGTCACCTGGTGGCAAGTCATCTGAGATGGGAACAACCACTGTAGGGTCAATTTCTGCTGAGTCAGCCAGGACTGGGTCAGCTGGGAGAGGGTCAACCAGCTCTGAGTTGGCTGAAGCAAAGTCAACCAATGCAGGATCAACAGGTACAGGGTCAGCTTGAACAGGGTTAACTGCAGTGGGATTAGTTTCAACAGAGTCAAGTGGCATGGGGTCAGCTGGAGCAGAATCAACCAGTGAGAGAGGAGATGGAACAGGGTTAGCGTGGATGCTGTCTACCAGGTTGGAATAAAGGTCTAGAGGATCTTCTTTAGCAGCACTAGCTTGTCCAGCACTACTCTCCAAGTTCCCAGAGCTAGGTTTCTCCAAGGCAGCTGCCCAGGCCCGAGCCCAAGCCCGGGGCTTCCCTCTACTACGGGGAGGTGCGACCTCTCTTTTAAGTTCCTCCTGAGGCAAATTTCCTGCCTGTGAAGTTATCTCTGTGGCCACAGTAGATTGCCCACGAGAAGATGACCTCAGCCTCCTGGCATAGCCTTCTGTACAGGCTGCTGGCTGCTCTTTGCTCTTCTTCCTCCTGCCCTTTCGAGCTCTCTGGGAACTCAGCATTGTGTTGGCTGGTGGGTTCTGAGACTCCTTGGGCATCATTGGTTCCATGACCTCCTTGGGCTCTAACAAGCAGACTGACTCCAGCTTTTCCTCTGACAACCCCTCTTTCTGAGGGCAGAGGTTTTCCTTGGGCACAGCAGCCTCTGTCTCTGACTCTAGTGTAGGCATGAGTAGCTTCAAAGCTGGACTGGCCTCTAGTGAGTCATCCAGAAGCACAGGCTGGGGTCCAGTAGGAATCTTCCGTACCACAACTGGGATCTCCAGGTCATTGCCAGCTGTGGCTGCCTGGCCCACAATCTCTAGCACCACACAATCCTCAGGCAGTGTCAAATCATCCGGCTGCTCCTGAAGCTCATCCTCGAGTGATGTCAGGTGGGTGAGGTTGGGCAAGCAGTATGGATGCATGGCCCGCACCAGCTCACTCAAGGAGGAGATGCTCTCGTCGCCAGCTGCCTGCACTGCCATCTCTGCTGCTGCTGTTTTATCTTCCTCCTCCGGGCAGGCCAGGTGCATAGGGAAGTCTGGAATACTGCTCACGGAGTTGTCGAGCTCCCCAGCAAGCATCTGGCCACTAAAGCTGGCCACCTCCTCCTCTTCTTCCCCATCGCTACGCTGCTGGGGAGGAGGGGATTGGCCCCAGCGGGCTCTTGATCTTGAGGGTCTCCAGCTAGGAAGCTTAGGGAAGGAAGTCTCTAAGAAGGAGGGTGGGGAGAAGTCCCAAGGGGGATCTGAGAGGGACATCTCAACCTGCGGAAGAGAAAAGAAGCTACAGATGTTTTCGCCAAGGATATATTTTTCCAGGCCTGTCCCCACATACTTCTCCCTCCTGGGAGTCTCCGAGGCTCCCTAGGTCAGGCTTACCCCACTCACTCTATTACTGCCTGTGCTGGGCCCCAGTGGGTCAACTGGGGTGATGAGGTCACGTTCTGGAGGTGTCCGGGAGAGGGTGAGCAGCTTGTGCAGCTGACAGGGAGAAAAAGACCTGAGATGAGTTTGTGCTTCACAACTATATAAGTAGGCCCACAGTCATGGTTCTAACATTTGCACCAACCACATACCCTCTTCCCCTGGTCCCACACTCACAGAGGAGCCCTCCCGAGGTGACACAAGCAGTTCTGAGTCAGGAATGCTGTCAAACGGAGACAGGTTCTCGGAATCTGCATTGTCCAAGATCTCTGTCAGAGCTGTGAGCAGTGACACTTCATTCTGGTCCTCCAGAGATAACCTGCTCTGCTCCAGAAAGACAAAAGGAAGTTCCTACCATTATTCCTAATGGTCTACTGGCCACTCAGAATGACTGCAAGCCAAGAGAATCAGCCTCTCAGGCTCAGTTCAGCTCAATTTGCTAGAGTGCCAGGAGGCATGGGCTCTAATCTCATTCGTTACCATCTCCCACCCCTCTAATGCCAACAGAGGCCTGTCAGAATTGATACTTAGGCTTATGTTTCACATACTCCTTCCACCCCTAGATGTGGGATGCTCAGCAGACAACCCTCGGCTAGGCTGGAATTGAACTCAAAACACAGATGGGAACCCCCCTGGACATGTAAGTTGGGGGCCCATGCAGGACTACAGTCCAAGCCTGCCAGGGCATGTTCACATGGGATATAATCTGGCAGCTTGTAGCCCAATTCTTCTGGAGAAATAAGAAACACACTTCAAGGACTCAGTTTGCGTATCCAGGAGCCAAGATCCTGGGAAAGCAGAGCCACCGGGCCATAGCCTCCAATGCAAAGCTCCCACCTGAAGACCTCCAAACCCAGTCCCAGCTCACCTCCCCAAGGCTCCCAAAATCTTCAATGAGGGAGATGAGGGAGGCATCCATGTAGCTCTGCATGGTCCCCAGCAGTGTCTCATCCTGTAGTATCAGCTCCTCCATCTCCAGGTCCTTGTCCCTCAGACAGGGGCCAAGCCGAGACAGACTGACAAAACCAGAATCGTCCCCTTCCTCATGCAGCAGCACCTGAGGCAAACAGGACAGTCAGAAGGGTGTAAAGTCTGCAGAGCACGGGGCACCTAGGGCAGCTGAATGATATGCTCTGTAAACCAGGTGCCCAAGCTTCCACCAATGGCCCCAGACTCAGCAGGAGCCCCAACAAAGCCAAACCTCTGGACTTGCTGGGCAGAGAGAAGTACAACCCACGAAACAAAGCCCCAGTCAGGATGGCAGTGTTCATGGATCTTCTGAGCAAAAAAAAAAAAAAAAAAAAAAAAAAAAAGTCTGGACTCCATCCAGAAACAGTTGGAGCCACTGAAGATCACTAAACCAGGGAGTAAAAACATCAGAAAGAACAAGATTTTTCAGAAGAGTCAAACAGTCTGAGAGGTACACCGAAAGAGTGGTGGTCAGCAAACAGGCAATTTCAGCTCCAACCACCTTCCCTCTCCCAAATCCTGCCTAGGCCTCTCTTCTCTGCTTAGCTCAAACCCTACCTTCTTCAAGATAACTCAGGCTTCCCCAATCCATGCTGATCTCTCCTCACACCCCTGAATTCATTCGGGTTTCTGTACCAGTGGCAATCACATCTTGTCCCCTCTCCACCCCATGATAGTCCTAGCATCATTACTAAAACTAAATTCTAAGTTCCTTTGGGGCAAAATAACCCTTTGTACGATATTAGCCTATATCCTTCTTTGATCTTGGAAGGGTTTAAACTGTTCTTATACTTCCTAATTATTCGCGATGCCTAGCACCATGTCTTATACACAGCTGTGATTCACACTTAATTCACACTTTTATTTTGAAGGCCCTACAGTGTGCCACTGAACCTCTCAATGGTAGTCCCAAAGGAAAAGTCTCCTCCCTACTCCTACCATGTGAGAGCAGAAGAAGAGAAAGCTTGATTCCTTGAGTCAGTACATGGAAAAGCCACACCCCACTACTTGCCTGGGAACCAGCAACATCTTCAGCCTTGTCAGGCAGGGAGCCACCCGCCCAGGCCTGTCAAGAGTGTGGGTGTGGACAGAGCCAGAAGTAGCTGGAATGGGACTGGCAAGGCCAGAGGCCAAAGCCAGGGGTATCTCCACTATAGGAAACAGATGATGGAAAGACTGAATAGAAACAAATACAAGCCTCCCTCCCCCACTCAGCAAAGGGAAACTCTGCACCTCTTTCAAGAGAAAACAAAAAACAAAAACACAGGTGTGACTATACCTTCCAAACCCACCCCCCTAACCAAGCTGAGGAGTTCAAATGCCCAGAGAGGAAAGGCTAGATACACTTTAGGAGACCAAGTCCAGAGAGGAAGTGAAAGGTGGCAGGTTTTAGGCACTAACTCCTCCCAGACCTTCACAATCCTATAATTACAACCAGCAGCTGAATAGCACCTGGCTCAGCAAACACTCCTCCTGGGTGAGCAAGGAGACTACATCTCAACTTGCCCTGCCACCTACCTGACCCAGCCACCAGGCTAGAATCTTTAAGACAATGCCCAGCTCTGGGAACCACTCACCACCTCCATCAGGCAGGTACTGGAGCCCTAGTCAGAGACAACCCTCTCTTCACCTGACAGCACCTATCCTTCAATCCTCACACAGCACAGCTCCCAGATACCAAGATCATCTAGCAGAGAAACCCATCTGGCTTTCTCACATCCATTCTTGTCCCTACAGGGTTCAAAAACAACTACAAGTTATTAAGAATACACATCTGATCACTTTGAGACTCTTCCTAAACCCTTCCAATAGCAGCTTACTGCTCTTAGCATTAGGTTTAAACTCCTTAATATGTCTTACAGGGGTCCTGATCTTCCCTACTAGGCTCTTCTCCAGTATGTCCTCTCTTACTACTGTGCCTCTCTCTCTATGCATCAGCCATACAGGTTTCTGTTTCTTCAATAAGCCATATTGAAGCCTCCCACTTCAAGGCCTTTCCATACTATTTCCTCTGATGAAAACTTCCCTCCCTCACCTCAACTTAAAATATCCCTTCCCAGACTTCACAATATAGATTACTACTGCTGGTTATATAATCCCAAATATGCTGCACTTTTCCTTTCGTGCCACTTATTATTTATTTATTGCCTATCACGGTAAAACTGGACGATACTGGAGAACACGGACCATGTGTGGTTTTACCACAGCATCCCTCGTGTCTGAATACAGTATCTCAATAAATAGTTGGTTGACTAGCTTTCACATGCCCATCTTTTGGGGAGAGGACGTAAGGCAAGAGATATACATAATCTCTCCATGAGACCATCTCCAACCACCAATAACCACCTAATTTGGATTACAGCTGGATCGTGGATCCTTCCTGCCTCTCCTCCACAAGGTGGGCAGTCCCCAAAATCATGGGCCCGAACTGGTCTGCTGGAACTGACATTACCTGGTAGCCTGCGGCCCAATTCCCACCTAAAACCAAAACAAAAAAACCCAAAAGCTTTCAAGGACTCAGCTTAATTGCTTAAGAGAGATAACCTTTCAGACTGAGTCCAGCCCACTGGCAACTTTTAAGAAGCCCTCTGCAGAGGAGTGTGATAACACTTTCTCAGTATGGAGAACTGAAGGCCAAGCCAATAGAATCTGACAGAAACCACCCTTGTCCAATAAATGTTCAACTAGTGGTGAATAGCTCTCAAATGGCCTCTAACTTTTCCCCATCCCCAGCAAAATTCCAAAGAGGCTTAAATACAGACCACCTCAATTTTGTGTGTGTCAATAAAAGAAGCAGGCCTTAGCCGCCGCCTCAAAAGAGACACTGGCGGAAAAAGTGGGGGAAGGAGAAAGGATTCTCTTTACCTTACTTAGGCTTATCCCATGTATATGTTGACACTCCCCATGCCCCTTGTAATCAGGAATGAAGCAGGTCCGAAAGCAACCAAAACGCCAGTGTCCATGACTCACAACCCACCACAAGCCGGTCAGACAGAAGCCGCCACAAGCTTACTTCACAGCCCTTCAACCTCAGCCTTCTACACTGCCCAACACACTCTAACATCCACAGGGAACTGACTCCCCGCACATCTGGAGAGTCCTTCACCATCCCCTGTCGAGGCGCCGTGGATCAATGCACGAGAAAAAAAAACTCCAAGGCTCTGCGCAAAGTTTACTCTAGCAGCCCCTACCTTCCTTCCCAGCCAGGGGCCCCCCCAGCCCCGCCGGAGATGGCGGGACGGGCTGAGACACACCCAGTTCCCAGCAGTGCGGCTCCAACGCCGATACGAGATGCCGGGCAGCCTGGAGCGGGAGCCACGTGGACATCCCCTCCCCGCCCCCACGTGGACCCGAGGGCCACCCCCCCACCAGAAGCCCAACCCACGTGGGTGCCAGGGCCGCCTAGAGGGGGAGGGGAAGCCGACAAGTTCTCCCGGGAAAATTGCTCCCCCCCCAATCCCACGTGGCTCCGAAAAGGCATTGCGGCGCGGTGCTAGGGGCACCCCCACTCGGCATCCTTAGAGGAAGGTCTTAGTCCACGATTCCAAGTCCGAATCCCTGACCCCCCACCACGGGCCGTTTCCAACACCCGACTATGCCCCTCCAGCATTCCGGAGGAATGGCCATGGGGACCCCGCCTCTGCCTGCATCCCTCCAGCAAACAGCCCAGGTCCATTCAACCCAACCTGTCTTCCGCAGCCACCCGCATAGCCTCCCGAGCGCTTCCTCCCTTTCCTGTGGCGTCCACGTGTCATCGCCCGGCACACGCTGCTTTGCTGCCAGCCGCGGGCCGCCAGCCAGCCTCTCACCTGCTCCCCACCACTCACAGCGCCCACAGTCCCATACGGCGCTTGGCTTCGACTCCCCCAACTGCTGCCGCGCACTCCACCCCCGGGGTCGGGTCCGGGGCCCCCACTTGGTGACGGCGCGACTCCGTCTCTCCGTCCCCGGCGCGCCGCCATCTTGGCCCCTGAACACTCAGCGCAGCTCTGGTCGCCGGCACTGCCTCGCCCAGCAGATTGTGGGAAAGGAACTACAATTCCCGGAAGACACTGCAAGACTGCGGATCCCAAAAGGCCTTGCGGCAAGACCCACTCGCACCTGGGAAGAGGGCCCTGGCCTCGCAAGGGAGCCTGGGAGTAGTAGTTGCTTTAAGGGGAGCCCAGCGGCACGTGCTACAGACATACTGTCATGCTTAATTTTGTGTTCCGCTGGGGGGAACCTAGTTGGGGAGCGCGAGGTAATAAGAGGAGAGTTACCATTTGCGCATCTCTTTATTGTCCTAATTTGTCCAACTGTCGGAACGCCCTCTTTATCTGACGTTCTATAATGCGGTACTTTCCTTTCCCCTTAGACCAAGTGGGCCTGTGTTTTGAAACAGCACCCCCGAGTGGGCACCCGCACTCCCGGAACTAACCTTCACCTAATCTGCGCCACTCCTGCTAGTTTAATCTTTTTTTTTTTTTTTTAACTTCTGGTTTCATTAGGAAATGAAATAATTAACACATCACTGTACAACTTTAAGGCTTATGCTATATGATTGTTTGATTTACATGTACTGTGATTACCACCATACGTTCAGCTAACCCATCTTCGTATATAGATAAAATAAAAAAATTTTCCCCTTGTGATGAGATTTCCTTTTTAACAACTTTCCTATATACCATACAGCAGTGTTAGTTATGTAATGTTGCATATTACATACCTACTACTAATAACTGGAAGTTTGTAGAGTTTAATCTTAAAACACCGCGTTCGAGGGATCTCCTTAGGGCTTCTCAGAAACCCACACTGGCACCTCATTGCCAAATGTATTTCCCGCTGCTGCACTTTATCTTTCTGTCCTCCAAAGACAACTGGTGTTCTCCTACCTTTGTTTTTCTGTTTGGAATATTCGAACTTGGAAATATCTTTCATGCCCTCTTTTATCTAGGAAAGCTTTTTTGATCATTGCAATCAACCATGGTCCCTCTGTATATTTTCTACAGTCCATCACTATCACTATCACTGCTATTCATTCGTCATTTCAAAGATGTTTCTTATTGTTTTCTTTAAAAAAAAAAAGTTTTCTACTCAAGTTTAAAAATAATTTCAAATAGTGCAAAACTATATATAAAATTATATTAAAAATTACACTTGGCAAATTCCAGTTCTGCTCCCCAGATTTGACCCTTGTTGCTTTTGGTGTGTATTCATCCACACTTTTTCTATGCATGTAAAAATATATGGACACACACTGATCTTTTTTTGTTGTTGTTCAAAAATGTGACCCTTCTTGGGGCACTAGGGTGGATCAGTTGGTTGTGTCTGACTTTGGCTCAGGTCATGATCTCAGGATTCCTGAGTTTGAGCCCCATGTCAGGCTCTGTGCTGACAGCTCAGAGCCTGGAGCCTGCTTCGGATTCTGTGTCTCCCTTTCTCTCTGCCCCTCTGCCGCTTGCACTCTTCTCTCTCTCTCCCTCTCAAAAATAAATAAACATTAAAAAAAAAAAAAAGTGACATTTCTGGGAGCACCTGGGTAGCTTAGTCATTAAGCATCTGACTTCGACTCAGGTCATGATCTCACGGTTCCTGAGTTCAAGCCCCATATGGGCCTCCCTGGGGACAGTGCAGAGCCTGCTGGAGATTCCCTCTCTTTCCCTCTCCCTCCCTGCCCTGCCCCTGCTCATTCTCTCTCTCTCTCTCTCTCTCTCTCTCAAAAATAAATAAAAATAAACATTAAAATGGGAATGCAAGCTGGTGCAACCACTCTGGAAAACAGTATGGAGTTTCCTCAAAAACTAAAATGAACCATCCTAGACCTAGGAATTGAATTACTAGGCAGCATTTATCCACGGATACAGGTAAAGGCTAGTTTTAAGGGACACATGCACCCCATGTTTATAGCAGCACTATCAACAATAGCCAAAGTATGGAAAGAGCCCAAATGTCCATCGATGGATAAATGGATAAAGAAGATGTGGTATATATATGCAATGGAGTATTATTCGGCAATCAAAAAGAATGAAATCTTGCCATTTGCAACTACATGGATGGAACTGGAGGGTATTATACTAAGTGAAATTAGTCAGAGAAAGACAAAATCATATTACTCGCTACAGTCTATCATCACCCAGATATTACTTCACAGAGACAAAACAGATGAACATAAGGGAAGGGAAACAAAAATAATACAAAAACAGGGAGGAGGACAAAACAGAAGAGACTCATAAATATGGGGTGGTAGTAAACGGGGTTACTGGAGGGGTTGTGGGAGGAGGATGATGGGGCTTAAAATGGGTGGCAAGGCAAGTATTAAGCACCTACTCCTGAAATCAATATTGTTTCACATATGCTAACTAATTTGATGTAAATTTTTAAAATAAAAAATAAAATTAAAAAAATAATAAACATTAAAAAAAATCTGACCATTCCAGGGGGCGAACAAATTCTTGGCTAAGAATAGTAGAGAGCATATGACCCTGTCTCAGGGAAGTTTGAGCCTCACACTGGGTGTAGATTATTTAAAAAAATAAAGAAAAAAAAATCTCGGGCACCTGTGGCCTGGAGCAAACCTTCTAATCCTCTTGACATTTTACAGCCAAGGATCCTCAGGGTTCGGGTTCGCTTCAGGCTCTGTGCTGATAGGCTCAAAGTGCTTGAGCCTGTTTTTTTTTCTTTTTTTAGATTCTCTCCCCAGGCCTCTCCCCTCCCCTCTGTCTACACATACACTTCCCTTTCTACTCTCTCTCTCTTCTGTCTCTCAAAATAAACAACATTATACAGCCCCAGAGAGAAGGCCGTTGTTGGTGCCAGTCTGACGCCAGCCAGGTCACTTTATCTCGTAGATTCGAGCCTGGCCAGGCTCTGGGCTGATGACTGAGCCTGGAGCTCTGTTTTCGATTCTATAGCCCCTCTCTCTCTGCCTCCCTCCCCTGCTTCATACATATATGCTCTGTCTCTCTCTGTCCCAAAAATAAATAAAAAAACGTTGAAAAAATAATTTTTTTTTTAAAATAAATAAACATTAAAAACAATTTTTTTAATTAAAGAATAAATCTTTACAAAAAATGTGACCATTCCATACATATGGTTCTACAACTTGCTTTTTTTCATATAACACTATAATAGTCTTTACTGAGATCTTACTTACTGATACTTTAGTAAGTATCCATTCTATTATATGACTATACTAATATTTAAGTTATTTCCAATTTTTTACTATTAAAAATTATTTTTTTTAATTTAAATCTTAGTTAATGTACAGTGCAATATTGGTTTCAGGAGTAGAATTCAGTGATTCATCATTTACATACAACACCCAGAGCTCGTTACAAGTGCCCTCCTTTGTACCCATCATCCATGTAGCCCATCTCCCACCCACCTCCCTCCATCAACCCATAGTTTGTTCTCTATCATTAAGAGTCTCTTGTGGTTTAGGGCACTGGGGTGGTTCAGTTGGTTAAGCATCCAACTCTTGGTTTGGGCTCAGGTCATGATCTCACAGTTCATGGGGTCGGGCCCTGAGATGGGCTCTGCACTGACAAGGGTGGAACCTGCTTAGGATTCTCTCTCTCTCTCTCTGCCTCTCCCCACTCGCACTCTCTCTTTCCCTCTCAAAATAAATAAACATTAAAAAAAATCATTAAAAAAGAGTCTCTTGTGGTTTATTTCCCTCTCTTCCCTCACTTCCCAATGTTCATCTGTTTTGTTTCTTAAATGCCACATACGAGTGAAGTCATATGGTATTTGCCTTTCTCTGACTGACTTATTTCGCTTAGTATAATACATTCTAGCTTCATCCATGTCATTGCAAACGGCAACATTTAATTATTTTTAATGACTAATAATTATATATGTGTGTGTGTGTGTATATATATGCGTGTGTGTGTGTCACATCTTCTTTATCCATTCATCAGTCAATGGACTTTTGGAAAAACTGAATTACAGTGAACAGGTGTACCTGGGTGGCTCAGTCAGTTAAGCATCCGACTTCAGCTCAGGTCATGATCTCAAAGTTCGTGAGTTCAAGCCCCGCATTGGGCTCTCCACTGTCAGTGTGGAGCCCACTTCAGATCCTCTGTCCCACTCTCTCTCTGCCCCTCCCCTGCTTGCATGTGCTCTCTCTCTCTCACACACAAAAATAAATAATAAAACATTTTTTAAAAAGTTATAGTGAACATTCTGGTACATGTGTACATGTATCTTTGCACTTTTTTACACTCTTCCTATGGGATAGTTTCCTTGAAATAAGATTGCTGAATTAAAGGAGGTATACATTTGCAATTTCAGTGGATAGTGCCAAACTGCCTTTTAGGAAGGCTGCATCAATATACATTCACACACACACACACACACACACACACACACACACACACAATTCATGAGAGGGGAGGCCTCTGTTATAGGCTTTATTTTTTTTTAAGTTTATTTATTTATTTTGAGAGAGACAGAGAGAGAGAGGGAGAGAGAGAGAGAGAGAGATTGAGCATGAGTGGGGAGGGGCAGAGAGAGAGAGAGGGAGAGAAAGAGAATCCTAAGCAGGTTCTGAGCCATCAACACAGAGCCCATTGTGGGGCTTGAACTCATGAACCGTGAGATCATGGCCTGGGCCCAAACCAAGAGTCGGACACTTAACCCACTGAGCCACCCGAGTGCCCTTCCCATATAGGCTTTAAAAGCCATAAATTCATGGGGTGGTGATTTTGGCTCAGGTCATGATCTCATGGTTTGTGAGTTTGAGCCCTACATGGGCTGTCTGCTGTAGGCACAGAGCTTACTTTGGATCCTCTGTCCTTCTTTTGCTCTGCCCCTCCCCCACAATCTCTCCCTCTCTCTCTCTCTCTCCCCCTTCCCTCCCTCAAAAATAAACATTTTTAAAAGCCATAAACTCAGAAACTGAATCTTTTCACATTTTTTTCATAAAATAGTCAAATGAAGGCAACAATAAATTTTATTTGCAATAAATCTGGGAATAACTTGC